GCGCGTTATAAGCGGGGAGGGGCGGGGCGGGGCGGAGCCGCCCTTTGTCTCCGCTCCGACCCCCGGAGGCGGCCGGGAAGGGCGGGGCGACGCGCACGGCGCATGCGCGCACCCCTCTCCCCGCGCTTAGAACGCTCCGCTCTCCCCCCGCCCTCCCGCGAAGTTGGACTCTCCCTCTACGCTCCCGATACGTTTGGAATGTACCACTCTTCGCTCAAGGGGGGGGAGAAAAATCTCCTTTTTCACCCTTCTTTTTTCCACCTCTTCCCTCTCTCTCTTCTCCCACCCCACGCTCTTCACGGGGATTCTTCAATCTATCGAAGGAGGCGTGATTCTCTCTCACCGCGAAAAGTGCGCGTTATTTTTTTGTAATCCCCATCTCTCTCCCCCCCCCCCGCGCTGCCGCATCGAGTGGTCCGCTCCGCTCCCACAATGCCCCGCGCGCGAAGCGTTGCTCTCCTTTTGCCCCGCGGAGGCCGAGCGGGGCGGTGTGGGGGTTCTGCGCTGCCGGTGAGTGATTCCCTTTCGGCTTCTTCCTCATCTTTGAGGGCTCTCCCTGCGGTCCCTTCGTCCCTCGTCCCCTCAGACGGATGAGGGGTGTGAGATTATGGGGGCTGGGGAGGTCTTCCCGCTTGTTCTTTAGGGGCTGGAAGGTATAAGGAGTAAAGCGTGTCCTCCCAAAATCTGTGAGGCCGCTTTTCTTCTTATGGAGGAGTAGCTTTAGGTCGTTCACAACCTTCTGTTCGCCGAACGTGAGGGTGTGTTGTCTTTTAGGGCCCCTCTCCTCGTTCCAGGCTTAAGGAAAGGAGGTTTCAGGCTCCCATCTCATTGGAGCTTCGGGGGAAAGAGGGATTGGGAGTGGGGAAGACATTTATACCCCCGTAGATCCCCAAAAAGGAGGATAGGAGAGGGCTTTTGTCATTTATACCTTCATATCCCCGCAAAGAAGGAGGATAGGAGAGGGCTTTTGGTCACTTATACCCTCCCATCTCCCCAAAAAAGAAGGTTGTAGGGGGCTTTAGATCATTTATATCCCCATACAATCCCAAAAAGGATAGGAAGGGGTTTTTGTTATTTATCCCCTCTCATCCCCCAACAAGGAGGATAGGAGGGGGCTTTTGGTCATTGATACCCCTATATTTCCTCAAAAAGGAGGGTAGGAGGGGACTTTTGGTCACTTATGCCCCATATCCCTCCAAAAAGGAGGATGGGAGAGGCGTTCAGCTCATTTATACCCCATATTTCCCAAGGAAGGAGGGTAGGAGTGGAGTTTAGGTCACTTATACCCTCACAAACCCCCAAAAAGGAGGATAGGAGGGGGCTTTAGATCACTTATACCCCATATTCCTCCAAAAAGGAGGATGGGGGAGGGTTAGGTCACTTATACCCTCCCACCCCCCCCAAAAAGGGGGTTGTGGGGGGCTTTAGATCACTTATATTCTTACATCCCCTCCCAAAAAAAAGAGGATGTGAGGAGGTTTTATGTCATTCATGATGTCTCTGGTTATCTCTAAGACCTCATCTCCTTTCCCAAAAGAATGTGGGGAGACCTTTGTTGCATGTTGTCTTTGTCTCTTATCTCAGGTTTAAGGAATGGGAGTTTGTGGGGTCTCAGGTTGTAGGAAGATGGGTGTAAGAGCACCCCATTACCTGTGGCTTATCTCCCAGCTCCACATAGGGCTTTCCCCTTACCCATGCTTGGTTTGGAGCTGGGAGTTGTGCAGCACTGAATTCCTACATCATCCTCTCTCCATTAATGGGCAGAGCTTGGCATGGGTCATGCTCTGCATTCAGCACTGCTGTGTTTGGGCTCTGCCTGCGTGTCCCTTCACCCTTTCCAGCACCTGGCATCAGCTCATCCTGCTTTACCCTCTCCCCATGCTGCTTTTCCCAACCCCTTTGACGTTTTTAATGCCCGTATTGCTGCTTTTCCTTTTCTTTCTGTGATAGCTGACTCAGGAGGTACCCATTCCAGAGCTCTGTTTTTGGCAGCAAGACAGGACTGAAGCTGCTGACATCCTCTCTTGGGGCTTGCAGAGCATTGCAGAGATAACTCGAGCTGCTGAGGCTGCTGCTGTGTGTCACTCCTTCTGCCCCGCTAAAATCCATGGAAATTGGCTCTTTCACATCTGAAAGATGATTTTGGAATCAGTTCTAATGATGTCCTGTATGGAAGAGAATGTGCCTTTGCTGGGCTGTATGGCTGTAATTCTTTTTTCTCCTTTTTCAGGTGTGCCCTCTTTCTCTCTGACCTTGCAGGTACGCCTTTTTTCCTATTCTGCTTGCTTTCAATTTGCTGTTCTGTGTGAAGGTGACCATTTCAGTCACTCCTTGCTGCTGATTTCCTATGCTCTCTGTTGTGTTTTCATTGGTAGTCAGCAGTGTTGTTGCTGAGAGCAAAGAGTTTTAGGTGGTAGAGGTTGGGTGCAACTGTTGTTTTCCTGGATAAAGGTTGGTATGGAGCTACTTGATGTGGCACAGTGACCTGATGGATGTGGTTCCTCTCCTGCTGCTTTGTGCTGCTCTTCTGATTCAGGACAGAGTCAATTCAAGGAATTAAACCAACAAAACATCGATACTAGACAGTTTCTTTTCCTTGGGCTTGCAGAAATCATTGTGTTCCTGTGCAGTCCTTGGGGTTTCTCCTGCAGCTCTTTGTCCCTGGTGGTATCTTACAACAAGCTGCTCTGTGTCCCTGTCCTCCTGCTGCCACCTGACACTCATTTTTAATGCCATCTCTGTTTGCCAGGGAACTGAATCATTTGTAATCTTACTCTCTTGCTTATGACTTGCAGAAAGCAGCTGTCACTCCCCTCCTCCAGAAGTCAGAGTTGGGTGAGATTTGTTGCTTGTGCTCATTTAAAGAGACTTTTCAAGACTGTGGGAAACACTTTAATAGCTCAGTGTGGCTTAATTTCTGGGAGAGCTGTGTTCAACCTGGCACAGTAGCTGAGATTTAAATGACATTTCAGCTCCAGTGCAGGAAATTATGCAAGATCTAATGCAAGTTGCATCTGGGAAGCTGCTGTTAACATCTTTATAACCTGACTCTGGGGAAGGAGATTGATATATTCATTTTACAGGCTCTCAAGTTAAGAGAAATGTAGTGTTTTCTTGGACAGAGAAGAAGGAATGGATTCTATCAACCACTAAACAGAATGGAATTAACTTTCCTTTGGCGGCAACCGTAGGATAATGTATGGTGTGCTTTGGTTTTACGGGCTTCTTAAAAAGTAGCTAGATTTCAGGGGATAATGCAGCCAAATAGCTTAAGTCCCAAGCTTATGTTGGATTTACAGAACAATAGTAACTTTAGGCATTGACCTGCAGCAATGGAAGCACTGCATGGATTTGTTCTGGCTTAAAACACCCAGGAATTGTGACGACAAATACCAGAACGAAAGCTGTGAAGCAGCAGATAAAAAAAAAAAAAGAGGTTATCTTATAGATGTTTTGTAAGCTTATGGGACAGCTGAGCATTGAGCTGAGTTACTTGAGAGCGTTTGATTACTTGGCACTGATAAGTATTAAGAATATCATCAGCATTGTGCTTTGCAGAACACCGGATAGGTTGTGCAAAACTGAAGAATAATGTATAATGGGAGAACTGGAGGTGCTCTGATCTGGAATTAATAGTCTGAAGCAGAGATCTGCACCAACAGCTACGATGGTTTGTGTAGTTAAAACCATTGTTGTGTAGTTAAAGCCTTTGTATTTGCCTTTTCGCTGGAAGAACTGGTGAATGCAGAGCAGAAATGTTTTCCCCATTCTTATTTGTCAACTTCAGTGTGAATGTGGTTTTTGTCCTTTATTATTTAATATTAAAGATAACCGAGTGGCTGTCCTGGTAAGGATGCATGGCTCTGGAGAGTTAAGCAGCCATAAGTTTAATGATCTATGTTGTGCGTTTGAAGGGGGGAGTTAATTGGCTGTTGGTTGTGTCCTTGCTGAATCCCTGAAACTTGGCCACGTCTCTAAACTTTATATTTTTCCTTATTGCTGTCGCAGGAACTAAAACAGTAAGTACTCTGCAGCTGTCCTGTGGTTTGGCACTTGTGGGAAATGGGGCATGAAGACACTGGTCTGTAGCTTTACTGGTGGATTTCTAGACAGGTTATTGCACCACTTTCAGATTTCTACTGGGAATTTATGGCTTTAGACTATGATAACACCTGCTTTGGGTTATTGAGGTGTTCCCAATAAAGGATCTTGAAGGCTTTATTCACTTGCAGTTTGTGTTTTTTTTTCCATGGGATGACTTGAATGAATGTGGCTCTGTAGCCAAACAGTATGACAGACAAATGCAGAACCCTGATGTTCTGTTTAGGAGTCCTTATTGATCTAAGCAATAGGAAAAAACCAAATGTTTTGCCTTTATGCTATAACTGCAAGTCCTGGCTAATTGGAGCTCGTGTAAAGATTCTTTTAAGGGAGATGTAAGTAGAACACTGCAGTGCTTGGCTGTTTTAAACTGCTTATTTCTTCCCCTAGTAAATTATGTTGGGGAAGAAAACACCTTTGCTTTAGTAGATTTTTTGGGTAAGCTTAGTTCACAATCTCCAGCTCTTGATTGCTTTTCATTGCTGGCACCTGAGGATTCTGAACCAAAATTGTGCTATCAGCTCCCTCTCCTGGCTTTTCAGGAGCAGAACACAAATGAGTGTAAGCAATGACCTCTAAGGATACTTGAGACTTAGAGCATCCTTCTTTATTTTTCTAAGCATATCTTCCCAAATCAATGCCTGCTTGATCATACCTAATGGGTGATTGAGGGCTAACCTACTATCATGGAAAAAATGAAGGCAGTTTGATCTCCTTGAGCTACAATTTGTAATTAAAAGGAATTTAACTAAATGCTTAGGCTCTTTAAGGTGAATAATAATGGCTTTTGGCACTTGTAGAACTTAAAGTACTAAAATCTAATGCATGCCCTCGCTTGATTGAGTCTTGCTGCAACTACATTGTTGTGCTTATCTTTTAATGCTGCCACTCTTTGGAAGATGAGGACCAGGAAGCCTCCCTGCCCCATAGAAAAGGTGTGGGTAGACAAGCACAAATACGATGAAGCGGAGAGACTGCATTATGAAAGAGAAGCAATGTTGGCCACCGTGGTCCCAGAGGAGTGCCTGGAGCTGGAGGCTGTCAATGGGATCTGCAATGATGATTCCATTGAAGGTGAACTCAAGGGAGACCTGAAGAGAGGCAAAAATGGCAAGAAACAAAGGAAGAGGAAACGCTCCCCCAAACCCAAAAATATGGTCTCCGAGGTAGACTCTGTTTTGAGTGGTTTATTAGCTGACAGTGTGTGGTTTGACAAGCCTTTGTATGATCACGCTGAGAGCTTGTATAGGCAAAGATTAGTGGATTGTCAATACCAGGAGGCAGCAGAGACTGAGCTGCCTGAGTCAGAAGCTGTCCAAGATGCTCCCAAGCCATGGATGCTTCCAGCAGCCCTATCGTGCTCCCACGGCAACCTGAGTGCGTGTCACCATGTCGTTCAGGGCATCTGGGTCAACAAGTTTGACTTTGACAAGGCTGAGAAGGCGTTCCTTGAAAAGTCTCAGTTCTTTGTTCCTCCAAACATCCTCGCCATCCCCTCTGTGTGCTCAGATGGTGGGAAAGTCGGGCTGGGAACGCCGGATGAAGGCTATGTGACAGCGCTGCCTACGCCTGCTACACCCAGCTTAGTTCCTGATGTTGTTAATTCTGCTCCCCTCGTTAGCAGCTCGCCTCGCTCTGCAGAGCCCACAGTCAACGGTAAACCTCAGGCTTCCAGCTTGCAAGCTCTCATGTCAGAGGTGTGGTTGGAGAAACCTCTCTACGATGGTGCTGAGAAAAGCTTCTATGAGAACATGTTTGATAATCAGCCACCAGGCTCCCCCCAAGCCTCAGAGAACCACCAGAAGGTTGGAGAGGAAGCAGGTGCTGAACACGTGGAGCTCATCAGCAGCTCTCAGCAGCCTTCACCCACCTCCTTCTTCCTGCATGAGGACAGTGAGCGTGTGTGGCTCAAGAAGATGACATACGACAGCGCTGAGTCGCGCTACTACGAGGCTGAAGCTCTGAAAATGTCAGGAGCAGAAGAGAGAACGGAGATGCCACAACCCACAGTGGTGAAATCTCAGCCAGATGCTGAGGCTCCGAGTATACCTGCACCAGAAAAGAAGTAGGAGAAGTTTATTCTGGGGGTAACACACATGCAAAGTTGAGTCAGGATTGAGCTGGAGGAATCTGTGTGTGTGTGTAGATGAGCATCCTTTGGTATCCATGGGACTTGAGGGTGTGTTGTGCTGTAGGGAAAGGCTGCTCTTGGGTTGTTTGTGGGATTGGGGAGTAGAGAAACTCCCTTCAGAGAGAGAGGACTGAGTTGCCTCAATGATTTATTAAACCAATGGTCTGCAAGCTAGCTGGATTCCAGCCTACATGGTGCCCAGGTGTGGTTGGTTAGGAAGAGCTTCTCATTATAGATGACCTCTGTAGTTGTAAATTGTAGATAAGCATTTCTGTCCTTGAACTGATTTATAAAAGCTTCCATTGTTAAGTCTTGGATAAGATGCAGTACAATGCTTTGCTCTCTCTGTTAAATCTGTGCTTTTCTATGTGACTGCCTGAACCCCAAAGTTTGCTGTAATGACACGGGGGGCTTGACTGAAGGCTGCTGCTTTAATGTCCTCTTGCAGTGCTAATGTAGAGACTGATACTTCTAGAGGGAAAAGGGAGATTCCAGAGCTAGTATTTGTTGGAAAAGTTGTAAGATGAAGATTATATCAGGTGATACGGATTGGTGTTTATAGACAAGCTTCAGAGCACATCTGTTCTGTATGGGACAATTTTAGTTGGCCAGAACTAGTTAGTTCACATCTTGAGCAAGGGGCTGGCAGCACTGAGTACTGGGAATGGTTTCAGTGCAGGTTAACCCATATTGGTGTCTTTGGAGTGGGTGGGTGAGGAGGATGAATGTTCTCCAAAACACTCATCTGTTGGCTTCATTGGAAATGTTTGTTGGAGAGCAGATGAGAAAGAGGTGTGTTGGGTTGGGGCATGCATTGGGTTGGGGGGTGAGTTGTTTTCTCAGTATTGAGTGATAGAACCTGATTATGGTGTGACTTTGTTGTGATGCTTTGTCATTGCAGCAGGTGGGTTTCTGCATGCAGTGAAGTGGCTGGGTGGAAGCATATATTAAGACAGCCAATAGTTCAGAGCTTTGTTAAAAGGAAAACTGAAATTTGTGATCTGTAAGATCAGGAGTTGCCTGACAGAGTTGTGGCTTGGTTCTCCTGTCTTTGCTTTCAGCATTAAGAGCATTATTCCCTATCTGTCTCATGCACAAGGCATCTTTCTTAGTGGTGGATTTCATTGTGTGTTGAACACGATCTAGAAAATCCTCCTTGGGAGGCTCTTTGGAAGGTGGTACAGATCAGCTGATTTATTGTGCCCTCCCAGTGCCCTTGGGTGGCTGATTAGCCTACCCTGCTTTCCTAATAGGATCCTGTTGACTTAAAGCTTCCCACCAGAAGGGGGATCTGCTCAGCAGAAAGCTACATTCACAGCCCTATGGGGTAGACAGCATTGCTCTCGCAACCCCATTGCAAGATTCTCACCTGAAACACTCCTAGAAACTCACTTTTTTTTTTTCCTCCTCCCTCTGCAGAAAAATGGCAGTTGAATTCCTTGTGGATGAGAAGATCTGGTTTGAGAAGTTTAAGTATGATGATGCTGAGAGAAGGTACTATGAGCAGCAGGTGAACGGGCCAGCCGGCAGCTCTTCCCACCAGCAGGTAATGTGCTCTCAGATGTGCTGGAGCCTTAATGCAGAAGGACACTGTGTCCACCTGGATGTGTTCTGCATTGTTTTCACTCTGAATGTTGCTTTTTTTTCCAAGTGTGAGAGGCTTGCTAAGCCCACCCCACCTTGTCTTTGTCTGTTTGTGCACCAGAACTTCTCCAGCACAAGCAGTGTGCTGGAAGATGAAGGTGCCCTTGTGAAGGTGCTGTTTTGCTGTGGTTTTGGAGCTACTAAGCTTGTCTTGGCAAGGCTTATATTGGGTATATATGATGCTTGATGTTTAAAGAAAGGTTGGATTAAATGATCTCAGAGGTCTGTGCCAACCTTTATGATTCTGTGAAGGTGCCATGTCTCCAAATTGACCAGGGATTACATTCTTCTCTTTGTACCTCCTGCAATACTGCATCTTATGGTGCAGGAAAACTGCATCACAGCACTGAGGTGGGGGGAGCAGGTGGAATGGAAGCATGGTGCTGCTGCAACACACACCTGAATGAAAATAGTTCACACAATTCTAAGTCCCAAACTATTGCCTTTTAAAGCACAGAGCTTCTATAACCTCTTCTTGCAATGTAAAAAAAGCTGATAACTGCTTATGCACTTAGTTGGTGATGTGGAAAGCTGCTTAGTGATTCACGTGGCTGTCCTGCAGGAGTTCTAGGGGAAGCTTCTTGCTTCAGTAGTAACTTCTAGGCATGCTCTGTCTGTTCCTGCTGCCTGTGCTAGGATAGTGGTGGCACAGCATTGGGGATACTTGCATAAAAATTAGAAGTTGTAGGTAACCATCTGAAGCAAACATTAACGAGATCTTGGGGATAGGGGGGAAGTAGGAAGAGAACAGTTTATTTTGTGCCACATAAGGAGATTTGGGCTCCAAGAGATGATGTGAAGGCTCTGATGGAGATGTTGTGGTGTTCTTGCATCTACTTTTATGCTAAGGATAAAGATCAGTGGTTGTTTAAACCTGTTTGCAGCCTCCAAGTGGTTATCCACCTGAATTCAGGCTGGTGCATGTCTGAGCTGTATAACAGAGGCTTTTGGGCAGTTTCATATCACAAATCTTGCTCGTGGGCTTAGAGTCTGGAAGAGGTGAGGAGTCAGTGGATCATGGAAAATGTGTTTATGTACTAGGAGGGGAATCTTCCCCATCAAGTCAGCAGGAAAATAAGGGGAAAAAGCTACTGTGTGTGGCTGTACCTTGGGATTTACCTTGCCTGGATAAAAGGCTTTAGTTGGAGTTGTCATTGCATTTAGGCAAGAAGTGACAGGTAATATTAAAGAAGAAGAAAAAGAAAAATGGACTTGCCTAATGGTTGGTCTCTAAGGAGCAGAGAGGTGACTCAGCCCTCTGCCTGCAAACTGTGCAGGGTAAGAACAGAAATTGGAAAGCCCTGAATTGGGTGATCTCTGAACACATGGTCTCTTGTGACCGGTGTCTGATGTGTGCTGCTTGATTAAGAACCAATCCTTGCAGCTAATTCAGTAACACATTCTGAATCATTAGAAGGAACCCTCCCCTATATTTACCTTTTTTTTTTTTGTTGTTGTTGTTCTTAAACCTCCCTGACCAATTTCCCATGTTTCCTATTTTCTTTTTAAAAGAAAATCTTGGTTCTTTCTGCACTGTTTGCAGGAGAACGGAGCCAGCACGATCCTCCGCGACATTGCCAGAGCCAGGGAGAATATCCAGAAATCGCTGGCCGGAGTGAGTACCCGAGCTCTCACCAGCTGGCTACCTGCAACCATTTTTAGCTGTGGTGCAGAACTCTGCTGTGAACACTTCGTAGATGGTGTGGCTTCTTAGTTTTAAGTCAGGGGAGATGTGTAAGGTGTGCAGCGCTGTGTATCACCAGCATAGCACAATCTTACCAGGAGCACCGTTGCTACCAGCCTTGAAGTGACCTTAAAACTAACTGCATTTGGAATAAAAATTCTTCAGCTGCATTTCTTTACTTTTTCTCCTGATGGGTTTTCGAGTTTGCTCCCGCAACACTTAACATTTCACTGCTAAAACAGCCTTGCTGGGCAGCAAAGCACTGAGCTGCCAGCAGGATCGATCTCTCGGGGTACACTGAGCTGCCACCTTCTCTTTCCTGTTTTGCTTTCAGTTTAGGGTATGTGCAAAAAAATGGTGTCTTCCATCTGCTGCATCTTGGGAATTCGACCTGGACCATCCCGTAAATGTTCAGAGTAATGCATTTCTGGAGGTGTTTTTGTGCTGATAGGACGTAACAGGCAGCACTGTTGTAATGAATGCTTTCAGCAAAAAGCTAGTAGCTCAAATTGAAAAGTGATTTGGTTTTATGGGCAAAGAGAAAAAGTCAGGAAATGTAGAATATAATGTGTCTTGATTTCTGACCTCTGCATACTTGAGCATATCTTCCATCTGAGGATATCCATTCTTTATCTGTATTGATTTGGCCTCATAACTCCCTCTTGGGAGTTATTTCTAAATCTAAGAGGGGGTGGAGTACTTTTCAAGGGGAATATTTCGTGCTCCTCCTTTACATGAGCAGTAAGAAGCTGTGTATTTAGGGTGAATACAAAGGAGTTAGGCTAATTGCTTTTCCCATGGTGATCTTACTGTTCCTGTGGAAGCTGACATTACAAAAGCAACTTCTGCAACTGCTTGTGTGAGTGATCCAAGTGCTACACTGGAAACTTGGATGCAGGAGCAGTGGAGTGTATTGATAGCAGGGCTGCTGGTAAAGGGTGAGCTTTGCTGTGGTTGGATTCGGTGGTTCTGAGCACAGCATTGGAATCATTGGGAAGTTGGGACATCTTATGAAAGAGGAAGGAAGTGCTTAGCAGCTTTTTAATGCTAATTTCTGATTTGAGCATCAGTATTTCAACTAACACTCAGGAAGCAGGGAAAATAATACTCTGGGCATTCAGTAGAAATTATCAGCCCCTGTCTAAGCCTTTTAGCTTGGACTTCAGTGAGACAAATAGGTGGGGAAGTGAATCCCCCTTCCATCTCCACCAAGGCTGGAAAACTTTTGCAGATGAAGAGTTTTAAGATTTAAAGCAAGCAAGATTTAACATCAGTTTCCTCTAAAACCTGCAGCCTGCAGGAGCCAGAGCCTGAATGTGGTGAGTGCAGCCAGGAAACATAAATACAAATCAAATGGCAGTGCTGTTGGTCTGCCCTGCAGGTGTGTTCTCATCTCACAGAATGCACTGTGGTTTGCCAGAGACTGAGCTCAGCCTGAGGAGCTGCTTGTCCTGGCCTTTGCCTCCTGCTTAGTGAGAAGTGTGTGTCAGCTTGGGTTAGCCAAGTCCTGTCATAGGGAAGGCTAGGAGAACTGGCAAAGCACCAGACCAAAGCCAGAACAGTGCTGAGAATATAAAGTACTTTAAACACCAACAGGAGTTCAGTGTTGAATATCAAAAACTGTTCTTTGTTTCCTGCAAAGAGGACTTTGGTGAGTTTGAGGATTTAAGGCCAGGATTGAGCCATACCATCTCAAAATTGGAATCTGGGTTGTTGCAAAAAGCAGGTTTGAATTTTCCAGGCTTGAAGGAAAAGCATTGTTCTACATATGTGCATTAGGGAAAGCACTGTGTCCCCCAATCTGCTCCCAGAGTATTCAGTTTCTTGGAAAAGCCAAGCATATGGCAGTGGTCTCCTCCTTGATCCTGTTTTACAAATTGTCTCTTATTTTGACCATCTCATAGACCCTATTTCTTAGGTTTTTCAACACATGGCCATATCCTGGCCCTGGGACATACAGCAGTAACCACAGTTGGGTCTTCTGCTTCCATGCGTTGGGTTAGAAGGACTGAGCAGTTGAGAAATGAGCCAGAACCATCAGCTTTTGTTTCTGAAGGATTATTTTTTAATCCTGGACAGGGCATTCCATAGAGCAGGCCTGAAATTCAGTTCTGCAGCTTGTGATGGAGTTGTGTGGAAGGGTTTGGGTACTGCTTTTGTACCTCCTGAAGGAAAACTGATGCCAGAAACATTTGTTTGCACATACCTTTTACCCTGCTTTGCACGGTCATCCCTGCTTTCAGCAATCACTCCAGCTGACATCTGCTACATCACTAATGCTTTCCCAGGCCATGTTTTCAACATGTGCTGCAGCTGATGGTGGTGAGATCTTACAGATGGGGTCCCGAGGCACGGAAAGGAATGACTTGTCCAGCATCATCAGCAAGTCCAGCAGAACTGGTGGCTGAGCTCCCACTTCCTAAACCCTCTCATGGGGCTGTCATTAATGGGTGCTGGTGTGGGATTCTGAAATTCTTTCTGCTGTGCCCCAGTTTGTTCTGTTACAAAGCCCCCTGTATTTGTGCAGTTCCTGGGTTTGTTTCAAAGCTGTGCACACGCATCTGATATTGCATAAGTGCTCTGAGGCCATGTTCAGAATCTAACCAAGATTCATCCTGCTGGCCTTATGCAGGTGAAAGCATCTTCTAGTTATTAAACATGATCTTTTTTTCAGTTTGATATGTGGCCAAACCTTCTGTATTTCCTAAGCTCAGGCAGGCTGACCTCTGCATGCAAGCAATAGGTTTTCTTTTTTTTTTTGTATGAAGCAATGAGTGTTTTAGGAACAAACTGGAGAGCCTACGAGTTATCCAGTCTGGAACACAGTTGGTAGAAGCTCCATGCTGTGCTTTGCAACTGGTTTATGCATGAAGGGAGAGGTCTGATACCTCCAAATCCTTCTTGGAGGGAAGCGCCAGCTTTCCATCCGTGTCTGTTAGCAAAGAAAGAGCTCTGAGCTGTTAAAGTCCAGACATAAATTTGTCTTTCAGCTGATAATGAAGAAGTGTAACCTTTGCCAGCTTTTCTTCTTCATTACTGTTCTTGTCTCTGGTTCTTAAGGTTTGTTTTAGAGTCCTTGATATCCTCAGCTCACAGGGAAGCCCACAGATTCCTGTGGGATGATTTCCCTAGCTTATTTAAGTAGGGCATGACCACCTCTCAGAATTGGGATCTTGGCTCAGAGTTGTCACACAGTCTGGTTTCAAAGCCCTCTTGTCTTACTGCTTACTCCATCCTTTCTTGGTAAGCACAGAGCCCACTTAAACGCTGCAGTGTTTGTCTCAGAAATGTGATGAGAGCTTCAAACTGCCAAAAGCTGCATTGCTGTGCTGAATCAATAGGCTGCTGTCAGGGGGGTGAAAGTTCTGCTGCAGCTCTCCTTGCAGATGGCAGCTCCTGTATGTGTGTTGATCATGAGTAAAGGTGCTTTTTTTCGGGTGGGGATGGGTGTGATTCCTGCCGGATTTCAGTCTTCTCATTGAATTAGTTTAGACCTTGGCCCTTGCGTTAAGTTGCACTGTGGATGATATATTTAAAACAGGAAGAGGTCAGATTATGAGCCCACTTGCAATTTAATTTTTGCCTTTGGTGCATAAATCTATCATTCATCTGATGTGATGATCCCACTGTAGCTAGTAGTGCAGGGGTGGAAACCAACACCATTGAGTTGTTGGGTGTGGAATGGTGTTGTGTTGCCTTTCTCCTCTCTAAAATAAGGTCATCAGCGGTCATTGGAGACCTGCTTGGAGTCTTGTAGCTTTGCACTGTGTTTCTGCCTGTAGGGTATTACACCATGCATGGGCAGAGTTAGCTGAGGCCACGGTGTGTGCTGCAGTATTGCATGCATCTGTGACCTCACAGGTGGGGAAATGACAAAGGCTGTACTCTTTAGCTCTGCCACTTTGCTGTGTGACTTCCTGCAGGCACTGAGGTGTGTAGCACAAAGAGCAGAGCTCCTAGATGGCTGTTTTAATGCAGGCTTTGTTTGGTGTGGAGTTGGTTTGATGCTGACTCGTTGTTTGACCACTTTGCCAGCATGTGGATCTGCTTCTTGCACTCCTCCAGCATGAGTGAAACGCTTTTCCATTTTCTTTGTTGAACCAAACATCCCCCAAACTTTTTGCCCTTTCCAGCAGAAGACAGTTCCACGTAGTAAAGAAGCTCCTGCCCGTCAAAAGAGGCAGTCAGGCCGCTCAACTGTAAGTCCTCTCAGCATGAATGGAGCTGGTTGTGTGATGCAGGAAGAGGCTGCAGTGCAGACATGGGCCAACTTCTGGTTCATTTCAATGAGGAGCATTTATGCTTTGGCGTATGGCTGAAGCTCACCCAACAGGGTCTTATTAGCACAGCATTTAGGAACTGCAGATCTGCACTTCCATTCCTGAGCATTTATTGCCTGCAATGATGGATTTCATGGTGGTTTTGACCTCTGGTCTCTGTCCCTTTGGGGTAGGTGGGAAAAGGTCTCTGAGCAGGAATGTCAGAGCATCTCCCACTGCTCTGTATGTGCCATAAGAGAGCCCTGCTCTCCCGGGGCTCTGCATCTCCCAGACCTGCTTTCCATTTCCCCATATTCCTCTCTCTTCATCTTAAGTGACTGATTGTCAGCTGTGACTGAAAACAGCATTATTATATGCAGAGTGCACTTGGACGAACATACATTTTCACTATTGTATTTAGTTATAGAAGGCACTTCAAGCATGAATGACTGTATTTTCTTTTTTTTTTTTTGAGATGATCTAAAGTTATAGATAAGTCCTTTTTGCTTTTAAACCAAATACTTTTGAAGCTGAATCAGCATAATTTCTCCCTCAGGTGTGTTCAAGTAAGTTTAAGTTGCTTTGAGAGGAACTGAAAGCTGGATCAGGGAAGGGTGGGAGTGTAGAAATGCTGTGATCTCTTTGCAGCTTTCACAGGGACTTTGTGTGATGTTAGCAGGTCATTTCTGTGCTCTGTGCCTCAGCTCATCTGTAAGAGGAGACAGCTGCCCCATAGATGAGAATTAGTGTAGTAGCTTTCATAACGTTTTGTGTTGTTTAGTGACGGTCTGAGACTGCAAGGAATGACTTCATCCTTTGCTCATCATTGTCAGATGAAACTTGTTGATGTTTCATGCTTCATTATGTAGAGCTAGCATATTTTCTTTGAAGCTTTCATGTCCATGTTTTTAGCTTAGTTCTTAATTATTTTTTTTCCCCCCAAATGTTTGACTGCTTTGTTTCACTGAACCACTGAGCTTGGGAATAGGTGAACAGATTTGTTTCATTTCCATTTTCCTTGTTGCAGAGTGCAAGCACGAGTTCTGGGCCTGGTGACCAAAATGAACTTCTTTCCAGAATCTCTCACCTGGAGGTAGAAAATCAAAACCTTCACAATGGTAAGTAGAAGAGCTTTCTGTCATACAAGCAGTCTGGTTGGGGTAGCTTGACTTAACTTTAGAGCTAATGCACAATCTACAAGCTAAGTTTCTTCCCCCACACCACCCTATTCTTGCAGTTGTTGCAGATCTCCAGAAGGCCATCTTCAAGCTGGAAAGTCGCCTAAATGCTCTGGAAAAATCTACCTCCCATCAACCCTCACCTGTTCCACCAACCCAGGTGAGTCCCAGCAAAGTGTTGCTTTATTGTCACAAAGTGCCAGGTTGCTTCTAAGGTTTGTCTGGGTGCTGAGAATGGAGATACAGTTAGGATGAGGTTGGTGCAGCTTTTCCATCTGTTTTGGCAACTGCCTTATCTTTCCCAAACCAGTTTGTGCAGAAAAAAAAAATTATACCTGAAGACAAACAAAGAAGCTCATGCTTGAGGAAGGTGTTCAGTTGCTAGTGCCTTAAATTAGGAGCTGTGTGCTGCTTTTCTTGTTGAGAGAGAAAATAAATTTCAGTAAATCCTTTGGTAGGAATTTGCTCGTAAATTTGTAGATGTGCAGCATCCTGGGAAAATGGTGTGTTTGAGTGGAAGATGGCAAGCTGTTCAGCTCCAAGGATCTTCAGAGCAGTGCATGGTCTCTAGATAAATTATGGCGTTGGAGCATACAGCAAGGCTGTTCTGTAAGACCAAGTTCTCAGCTGCTCTTCTGCTCATGTTCTAGATATTCTCAACCACTGAGCCCTTAGGGGAAGGATCAGCTTTTGACTTGGTTTACTCTGTGAATTGCAGTATGGCTATGGTGGACAAATTCAAAGGTCCTTCTGGCCAATGTCCTATGTTGATGGATGTTGACTAATTCTTCACACCTTATGGGCTGTGTTTACTGTCTGTAGCAATGTGAACTCTTCTCTCCATTTTCCTTACTGCAAACTTGAATGCACATCACCCTCATGAAGAAAGTGGAACCATTCGGTGTTCCCTCCAAGAAAGTAGAGCTGCCATCTGCTTCACCTGCGAAGAAGGCTGAGCCAGCTGCTGCAGAGGAAGATGATGATGATGACATCAACCTTTTTGGCAGTGATGATGAAGAGGAAGATCAAGAAGCTGCCAAAGTGCGGGAGGAGAGACTGCGTCAGTATGCAGAAAAGAAGGCCAAGAAACCAGGTCTTATTGCCAAATCTTCCATCCTTCTGGACGTGAAACCGGTGAGTAGGTGAAGTGGGAGAGCTCCTGAGTGAGGCTGCAAATCATCATTTGTGCATCTGAGTTGAAGGTTTGACCTGCATGTTTCCAAACAAGGATTCAGAGTTGAGGTGGGATATTGCAGATGGGATATGCAGCCTTTGGAACAACACAAAGCAGATGTGTTGATGTAAGAAAAATCCCCTCATATCTGATGGGTGTGGAGGAAGAATCCATTAGCAGTGGGATTGCACGTGGTGATCTCAGGAAGTCTCCTCCAACTCCTACGGTTCTGTGATTTTTGTCATTCTTATGTGACCTCAAGGAAAACATTTAATTCCTTCTCCCTGCCCTTGCAGTGGGATGATGAGACTGACATGGCGAAGATGGAGGAGTGTGTGCGGTCTGTCCAAATGGATGGGCTTGTGTGGGGAGCATCTAAGCTGGTCCCAGTAGGTTATGGCATTAAGAAACTTCAAATCCAGTGTGTAGTGGAGGATGACAAAGTCGGGACAGACATCCTGGAGGAGGAGATCACCAAGTTTGAGGACTATGTAAGTACTTTTCTTGAGCCATTTTGCAGTCTTTCTGCTCCTCATCCAGCCCACTTGGAGCAACTCCTGCTTTTATGCTCAACCTGGGTAGCACCAGTGTGGGAATGCATGAGTTTTAACCTTGGTGGTTAAGGCTGGAGGTGCCTCCATCCCCATTCTGCCTCCACTGCCATGGAAATGGGAGGGTAGAAAGGGTGACCTGAAAGAGCTACCCAAAAATTGATGCAGTAGCTAACACACCAGTGTCCTGTTATGTCCCTTGAGGGCAGTTATCAGCACAGCTGGTGAGCTGGCCTCAGAGCTGTGCAATGCTCAGTCTAATTTGAGCAGAATTAGTGCATGCTGTGAAGAATTCCCCTCCCTCCCCCCCAGCTTTCTTTCTGAAAACACCTTGGTGACCTCTTGTTGCTGCTCTTGTTGTGTTGCAGGTGCAAAGTGTTGACATTGCTGCTTTCAACAAGATCTAGAAGCAAACCTATCGTCTCTGATACTGTAATAAAAGATCAAGGAGTGCAGATTGGATGATGGTTTTCTCTGTTAAGTGCGACTTCCCCAGGGTGCTATGTTGTAAGATGTCAGGGTATTTCCCCTGTTTTGTTCTCTTGATAAAAGGGAAGACCTTGACAAGAGGATACCTGTATATCCAGGTTGCTGCTTGTGATACCCTTAGCAAGTCACTTCTGCAGGTCCTTTGCTTTGTGAGGAACCAGGCCTGTGCTTAGTCTGGCCTATGGAAGGAAGAGGTGAGTCTTGTGGGGTGTCACAGTGCCAGAGTCCAAGGTCCAGCTGCCACACAGATGGAGCTGCAGCAGTGACAACTCCACCCAGCTAGGAGAACTGGCACTGCAGTGCCCTGTGACATTCTCTCACATCCTGCTGTCCCTGGTCATCCACGTGGTGCCATCCACTGTCTCCTACATCCTTCCATGCCCTTTGTGCCAACGTGCCCTGTCTGCTACTATGCCCCATATCCCCACTGCCTTGTGCTACCTCCTTAAATATTGAAAGGCCTGGAACCTTCTCTTCTCCACAAGCTAAACAATCCCAGTTCCCTCAACCTTTCCTCCCAGGAGAGGTGCTCCAACCCTCTGATCATCTTAGTGGACCTCCTCTGGACCTGCTTCGAGAACTCCACGTCCTTTCTGTACTTAAATGACATCCATAGCCCTTCCCCCCTCCTCCAAAGCTGTCACTCTATGGGAGAAGGCCACCAGGTTGGTCAGGCAAGATCTGCCTTTGGTGAAGCTATGCTGACTGTCTCAGATCATCCCTTTATCTTGTATTTGCTTTAACATGGCTTCAAGGAGTATCTGCTCCATGATCTTCCCAGGCACAGAAGTGAGGCTCCACAGCCTGTAGTTCACTGTAGTTTCTCCCTTTTATAAAAGTAGGAGTAGTATTTCCCTTTCATTCTCTGTTATGCAAAGCCACCCTGTGCCCACCACTATGTCCCTGTGCCCCCTAAGCCACAAAGTGCTCTCCTGCCCACATTTCCCCATGTTCCTGTGCCCCCATGCCATCAAGTCCTCTCCAAATGCTCCAGTGTCTCCTTCCAAGCCACCAAGTGTCAGCAGGTGCATCCTGTCTGCCACCACCTGTCCCCCCAAGCCACAAAATGCCTCCTGTACCTCTCCATGCCCACACTGAGGGCCGTGTCCCTGTTTCCCCAGCCCCAAGTGTTTCCTGTCCCCCACCAAGCACCCTCCACGTCCCCTCCCAAGCCACACCAAGTGTCCCCTATATCCCCCATCCCCAAACTCCCTTCCCCCCACACACACTATCCATCACGTCCCCACTACGCCACCAATTGCTCCCTTATCCCCAAATATCCCCCCTCCGAGCCTCTGAAGTGTCCTCCATCCCCAACCAAAGGCTCCGTGCCACCGCATACCCCGTCCGCCCACCAGGTGTCCCCACGTCCCCGCATCCCCGCCTTGCTCCCATGCTGCCCCGCTTTCTTCCCCGCCCCGATTCTTCCCCGATGGCTCCTCTGGCGGATCTGTACCACCTGACGATGGCGTACGCGTTGTGGCGGACGGGGAGGCACCGGGACCCCGCGGCCGCCGAACTCTTCTTCCGTCGGGAACCTTTCGGTGCCGCTTTCGCTGTGGGAGCGGGGCTGGGTCAAGCTCTGCGCAGCCTCGGGGCTCTTCGCTTCTCGGCTGCGGGTGGGTCGTTGGGGGTTGGGGATGGATGGACGGACGGACACGGGGACATCCCTTTGGGGGGGGCTCGTCAGTGGGACTTGGATTGGGGAAGGGGACATCCCTGGAGACTCGTCGTTAGGACACGGGGAGATCCGTCGGAGGGACAAGGATGTGCTTTGGAGGGATCTGGGGGCGTAAGGACGGCCCTTAGAAGGACGGGGGGTTCCTCAAAGGGAGCGGGGACACCTCTCAGATGGATCTGAGTCTTCAGATGGGACGTGGGGACATCCCTCAGAGGGACGGGGGACTCAACAGAGAGACCTGTGGGCAGCCCTTTGGGGGGACTCGAGGGACAGGGACATTCCTCAGAGGGACACCAGAGTCCCTAAAGGGATCTAGGTGACACGGGGGCATCCCTTTAGGCTTCAGGCTTTAGGACCCAGGGGACACGGGGACATCTCTCAAAGGAAAATGGGAGGGACAGGGGTGTGTCTCAAAGAGGCTTGAGAGTCAGGGGTCTGGGGTGGTGACGCTGTTATGTCCCTTAGAGGGACAGGGAACTTCTCAGAGGGATTTGGAGGGGGCACGGGGACACCCCTCAGAAGGTCTGGACTCCTCAGAGGGATCATGGGGACATGGGAATGTCCCTTAGAGAGACAGGGGACTCCTCAGCGGGATCTGAGTCATCAAAGGGAACTAGATGATGTGGGGACATCCCTCAGGGAGGATCGATGGGGCATGAGGATGTCCCTCAGAAGATCCTTATGGATGGGAGCCTGGGGTGGGGAGACAGAGATGTGCCATCAGAGGGATCTGAGTCCTCAGATGGGTCATCGGGGCATCTCTTAGAAGGACAAGGACATTCCTCAGGAAGATTTGTGGGACACAGGGACCTCTCTGAAGGAGAACTGAGTCCTTAAAGGGATGTAGGGGACATGGAAATGTCCCTTAGAGGGATCTGATGGAGAAAGGGACGTTCCTCAGAGGGACCAGGAGACCCCTTGGTGGCACGTGGGGTTCCCCCAGAGGAGCTTGGGGGCCTGGGGGAGTCCCTTGGAGGGATGATGCCTTACAAGGGACGGGGACACGAGCTGACATCCCTGCAGACATCGCCTACTTGCGCTCGGTGCTGCCCAGCACGACGGAGGATGCTTTCTTTGATTATCTAAGCACCGTGGACGCCTCTGAGGTGACCGTCACGTCTGTGCCTGAAGGCTCCGTTGTCTTCTCCAGGGTGCGACACATGGCCAAGCGTCCCCATGTCCCCATCTCTGGTGTGTGTGGCTGTGGGGAATGTCACCGTGCTGTCCCTGCAGGTCCCGCTCCTACAGGTGAAGGGACCGCTGCTGGTGGTGCAACTGCTGGAGACCACCTTGCTGTGCTTGGTCAGCTACGCCAGGTAGGGAACCCTACAACCTTTTTGGGGTTCTACAGGGCAATGTGTCCATCTCTACTGGACCAGCTGTTGTCCCTGTGTCCAAGTGGAATTGTTCGCAAAGCAAACCATGCCACCCCTTTATCATTCCCAATGCTGTACCAACTGTTGGCCCTGCATCTTGACTGTGACTGAGTTGTGGTGGTCCCCAAGCAAATGATGGTCCCATTTGTTGCCAACATGACTTGGTGTGATTTGGCCCTTCCAGCCTGGTGGCCACCAACGCCGCTCGATTCCGCCTTCTTGCTGGCCCAGAGATGAAGCTGATGGAGTTGGGTCTACGTCGCGCCCAAGGTCCGGATGGCGGACTTTCTGCCTCCAAATATTCCTATATTGGAGGTGAGTGCTGCCCCACATATCCATGCTGTGTTGTGGTCATATTGTTACCCCTCATCCCTCCTTCCAGGCTTTGACTACACCAGCAACGTCCTGGCAGGGAAGCTCTATGGCATCCCAGTTCGCGGCACCGTCGCCCATTCCTACATCATGTCCTTCAGGTCAATGGAAGAGGTGCAGCCCAGGGTGAGTGCTGGCAGATGGGACAGGGATAAGACACCCCTGATATGACTATGGGGATGGGACATCCTAGATATGACTTAGACATTCGCATAGTTGCTGGAAGGAAAAGGGGATGTACATGATATGGGGTGCATGAGACCCCCAGTGGAATTCATTTCACCCACTGAAGCCAATGTGATTGATTCAGTGCTATCACTGATGTCCCCAAGCAGGTCCTGTCACCGCTGGCAGGTGGGGAGCCCATGGATCTCCCATCCCTGGCTGAGTCATGGCTGCAGCGGGTGTGTGAGCTGCTGGGCACCCCCAGTGACAAACCCAACCGTGGTGAGCTGGCTGCCTTCGTGTCCTATGCCATCGCCTTTCCACAGGACTTCCAGGGGCTGCTGGACACCTACTGTGTCATGAGGTGGCCTTTTTTGCTGTGTCCCCATCTTTCATTGTCACTTGATGCAGGACACGAACACTAATTCTTTTCCCTTCCCCTGTCAGGAGTGGTCTGCCCAATTTCTGTGCTGTAGCATTGGCCCTACACCAGTTAGGGTACCGCGCCATTGGGGTGCGCCTGGATAGCGGGGACCTCATCCAGCAGTCCAAGGAGACCCGGAGAGTGCTCCGAGCCTGCAGTGCTCAGTGAGTCCTGCAGACATCTGGAGAGCATCCCCTGCTTCTCCGCCCCTGGTACCCACACCTTTGCGTGTCCTGCCTCTGTGGCTGTTAGAGTGGGAGCCCTCGCTGCCCTATGGGGTGTTCGTCGGCTCTCAGAGCCCCAAAACCTGAGACTGCCTTCCTGCTCATTCTCCTGCTCTTTTCCTTCCTTTCCAGCTTCCAGGTGCCCTGGTTTGGGAGCATCCCCATAGCCGTGAGCAACGACATCAGCGAACGGAGCCTGGAGGACTTCATCCGAGAGGTGAGGTTGGGGCTGGAGCATTGGAGGGACAAATGTGACAGTCACTTTCCTGTGACTCAGCCTTTCCTGAGTGGGAACAGAAAAGAGTTTCCACCTGGAATGAGTTGGCGGGATGGACAGATGGAGACCAGGAGACACTTTGGGACAGAGCAGCTCCTGACCTGCCCTGTGGCGTGAGCTTAAAAAAAAAAAAAGCAGCAGCTGTTGATGGTCATTGTCTTCTCTGTTACACCAGGGGAGTGAGATTGACATGGTTGGCGTGGGGACAAACCTGGTGACGTGTCCCCTGCAGCCGTCGCTGGGCTGTGTTTACAAGGTAGGAGCGGCAGCTCTGCCCCACTTGGCTTGGGGATGATTTGAGGTTGTGGGGTTTTTTTTAATGATTTACTCAGTTATTTTGCATCAGACCAGAGCTCTGCACAGTCTCCGGCACCAGTGTGAGCTGGAATAGAGTCATAGAAGATTGGGAAAGACCTCTAAGATCAAGTTCAGCTGTTGAACCATCACCACCTTGTCCACTAACCATGTCCCTAAATGCCACATCTACCCTTTTCTTGCAAACCTCCGGGGATGGTGTTTATGTGAAAAAATAAGGTGTACATCCCCATCACTTCCTTTTCCACAGCTGGTGGAGGTTAATGGCTCCCCGTGCCTGAAGTTCACAGAGGAGGAAGAGAAGATGACTATCCCAGGGATTAAGGCAATATATCGGCTCTACGATGCTGCTGGTGAGCTCCACTGAGCTCCTACCTCATTGGCCTGCTCTTCTTCCTGCTCCGTAATCCTGTCACTAGTGTCACCTGCTGGCACCTGACCTTTCATCCCTACAGGTCATCCCTTCATGGACCTCATGGCACTGGAGAATGAGCCCTCACCTAGTGTGGGGCAGGAGTTTGTGGTCCACATCTTGGGGAGGAGAGGAGAGGCCACCAAGGTCAGGCCGAGTGCTGTGGAGCCCCTCCATCGCATGTACTTGAGAGATGGACAGGTCAGAGGCGGCTTTCCTCTCTCCCCATGATGGGCTTGGGTCAAGGGGTGCTTAGGGTGGTGGTGGTGGGTCTGTGAGAGGACTCCCTCAGCAATGCTGGCAAGGCACAGTGCCCCTGGGCATGGGATACCTCCATGGGAAACCCCGTTTGCCAGCAGAGGGATGAAATTTTGTCTTATGAAGGTGGATTTTCTTGGTCTGTCCCATGGGAGTTTTGCAGCACAAAGCCCAAGATATTCTGCATGCAAGAAACTTTCCTTCATTCAGCTGCTCCACTGAGCAAATGTCCTATATAGGGACAGCCTGGCAGTGTTTTCACTGTTAATGTGAATGACACTGTTAATGACTGATGTCATCCATCACCAACCTTCCCTCGTTGAGCGAAAGCCTAGGCAGAGTGGTAGCCTCTTGCTGAATCAGTCACCAGAGTTTGAGATGTCCCTGTCCCTGTGATATTAGAAAAGCTGAGGTGGTGGTGCCACCACAGCCACCATCTCACTGTCCCACATCTCTGTGCTATCCAATCTTGGGGTGTTGGCACTGTGTATGGATGCTGTGATGTCTCCATCCCACAGGCGTGTGAGGAGCTGCCCAGCTTGCAGGAGGTACGGAGCCATGCACAAGCATCCCTCAACCTGCTCAGCCCCGTGCACCGCCAGCTCCATGACCCCCAGCCCTACCTGGTATGTTTTCCCCCTTACAGGCACGATCCTGGTCTCATCCCAATCCTCCTGCCCCCACAGACCTACAGTGACCCCATGGAGCCACATACACTGTCCACTTTTGCTCCTTCTCCAGGTGGCAGTGACAGAGAAGCTGCATCTCCTCCTTGCAGAGCTGCAGCACGCTAGCCAATGACGTGTACCCCAAATTACCCTCCAGCACTGAGACCAGCACTTCTGCTCTTTGGAAGACCAGGTGATTAATTGGAATGGTTCTAATGGTTCTGCTGCTCTGCGGTGCTGCTCCGAGAACTGTGCAGGAACTGCAAGAGTTGCCTCACTGCAAAGCTGTGGACAAAAGAATGGGGCAGACAGAGCTGGGAGGTGACAAGGGAGCCATGTCCAGCCATGTCTACTGTGTTGCTGTGGGAGCAACGCATTTTCTTCCTTGCTGACCTCGGTGGCCCTGCCAGCCCTTTGCCTTCGGTGATGACAGGACTGATGTCATCCTTCACCAACACTCAGCAGCAGCCCACATCCCCATTTTGTGGCATCCTACACCTAATTCTAGCACCAAAGCCTTTGGAATGTTATTGGGAGTACCCATGGGCCAGCAGCAACGAGTGGAAGTTTTAAATCAAATACTACTCAGAAACATTTCATGGAATGGATAAAAATGTCAAAGAATAAATCATGTGCCTTTCTGAGTTGTGTGTGTTCTTCTCTAATCCTGTTCAGGTTTGCAATAGAGAGAATTTTTAAATCCTTTTTGCTGAGCTTTGGAACTGTACAGCCAAAAACTGAGCCCCACATTGAAAGGACTTGCACCCATTCCCAGCAAAAGATATTTTTTGCATTTGCTTTTGTACAACCAAAAACTGAGCCCCACACTGAAAAGACTTGCACCTATTCTCAGCAAAAGTGTGGATAAGAGATGTTGTATTTATGGTGGTGGCTTTTTTTTGTGCGTTTTTTCTTTCTCCATTTTTAGATCTTTGCAACACTTGTTCATTGAAAGAAAAAAAAAAAAGAAAAACTGTAACAAAATCTGATTGTGTCCCACTTAAAAAAAAAAGCCAAGAGGATGGCGCTGCTGGTAGGGTTGTAAGGCACTGTATCTCATCACTTTCAGAGAGAAGAAAACACTTCTTGCTATTAAACTTTGTCCACAGTACTCCTGAGAAGAGACTACCTTGAATTCTTAAAACAACTCTATAACAAAGAGTAACATTAAACAGATAAGACAGACAGCAGCATGCTCCATCCCATCACCACCTCTCCATGGCCACAAAGGAGAGCTCACGGAATCAGCCATCAGATCTCAAGTTCCTTGGAATGGCCTGTTGATAATCTATCACCACCTCTTCTATCAATGAGAGTCTTCACACTGCTTTGGTATCAGGCATTCATGATGGGTGCATTAAGGCTCCCTATGCAAACGTTAGCTCACCCAATGGCTGTTGAGGTTGGAAGGCACCTCTTGATGTCGTCTGGTCCAATCTCTGCTCAAACAGGGACACCTGGAGCAAATTCCCAAGGATTATAGCCGTGGGATTATTGAAGAACTTCAAGGAAACTCCACAATTCTCAGCCACTGATACCAACATTCTGCCACAGCAGTGCTTCCTGATAGGCACAGCAAGCTCATGGGTTCCAGTTGATCTCAGTCCCTCTTGGCCTGGTGCTGGACACCACTGGCTCCATCCACTTTGCAGCACCCTACAGAGATTTATGGCTATGGATAGGATCCCCTGAGCCTCCTCTGCTCCAGGAGTTCTTATCCTCTTATAAGGGAGATGCTTCAAATCCTACAGCATCTTCATGGCCTTCCATTGGACTCTTTTCAGTCTGTCCCTGTCTCTTTTTATACCATGGGGCCCAGAACTGGCTCATGGTTGACCATCTCTTTAGGTCCAATTGCTCAGCAAAGGCGAACTCCAGACCCAAAAGACTGGAGCAGCAAATCTGACTTGAAAACTCTGAGCAACTCAACACCGAGACCTCAGTGCAGCGTCTGGGAGCTAAATTAGACAGCAGTGTTCTCAACACAATGTGTATTATTAATAGGCTCATTACACTCCATCCATCCCTTGAAGCCTCCATCCACCTTTTGAAGCGACCACATACGGATGTAAGGGACGTAGTAGAAAGCTGATACAAGCTGTCAAGATGTGTTCCACTGAGCATCACAACCCTTCTTTAAGCAAAAAAAAGAACCCGATAGCCACTAAACCATTGTGTGGCCCAAGCCAAAGGGGTCATGGGATAAAATTACTGCACCCTTTGTTAAAAGGAAAATAGGGCAGGAAGCAGGTTGTGGCTGTGGCTCTTGAATGTATTCCTCCAGGGCTTTTGTGCCATCCAGAACCTGAGTGAAACAACTCCCAGCACAGAATCCCAAAACAGCTTCCTGCTGCCATGACAGCATGTGCTTAATGGCAGACAACCCACAATTTGCAAATTTACATTATTTGACTTAAAGAATACCTGTTCCCACACATAAACCCTTCCTGCTGTCATGGCAAAAAAAAAAAAAAAAAAAAAAAAAAGTGCTTATTCTTCCATTTTTGCCCTTGAAATTCTGTTCCTGTTCTTTGGTGCAGATCTCAGAAGTGGATGGGACAGCAAGTGCTAGAAATAAAGTTACAACACCTCACATCCTGTAGATTTCACAGGATGACAACACATTGGAGTTTCATGCCCACCTTCTGTTCCTCTGCCCTGTAATTTTCCCAAATTTGTTCCTACAAAAATAACATTTTTTTAAAGTGCATTTGAAGCTCAAGATAATTAACCTCAGTTTGATGGTGGGTGAACGTACCATAGATATTAGTTATGGATAAGGGAAGTGAAGACAATTCAGAGGTTCGGCTTTAGGTGTGGGATCAGATCACAGACCCCAAGAAAAACTATTTTCCTGAGACATCTCAACTACATAGTGCTTTTCTCACTCTTTAAGTCCATATGGGGAAGTGCTACATGGGGCAGAGCTGTGTGATTTTCCAGTGCCTTTTGCAAACATGAAGGGTTCACGTTTCCATTAAGAGATGCTGGTCCTCAGTGTTGGAAGAAGGAAAGGATGTTGGACAGGACTCTGAGGTAGAGCAGAGTTGCAGAGTACCGTATAGGGAGGAAGGCAGGTTAAGGGAAAGTTGGAAATAATGAATTTGAATGTAAAGAATTCAGTGTGCAGCTCTGCAGGCAGTACAAACTATTGCTGTATGAAACCTGGCACTGGATTTACAAAACCAGAGAGGCTCATACAGCTCAATACAGACACTGTAAGAGGTAAAAAGAGGCAGAGGTGTGCATTCAGTGCACTAGATTTAGCTGCTTTCAGTACGTACGAGT